GAACAATGTGCTGGCGAATTCACCCTTCGCAGAACTCTAGTTTTACTAGCCCTGCCAAACATCTTGTATTTTTCATTTCATTTGCATTCGGTGGTTTTAATACAGCCACCAAAGTGACAATGGCAGGTTTGCTGTGGTATTGATTATGAGACCAACACGTCCTTGTCTCATCTTCCCACAGTTTCCTGTCTGAGCAGAATGCTGACAATGATGTGAGCAGCCTTCTGGTAAAAAAAATAAGCTCAGTTTATAAAGATATGTCAACGCGGTTCAGATTTCGCACACCAGAACGCTGTGTAACACTGCCCTCTTGTGATTTCTCTTGTTAAAGCAGTTACGGCATTTTTTCAATTACACTTGTAGAGCCCAATGTTAGACCTAAGGGCATTTGTACAGATCACATTTTTTGCCCTTTCTTGAAAGACCCCCTTTCTATAAAACACGTTTTAGAAGCACAAAGCCTACCATTTGGACAACTCATGCCCTGCTCTGTGATCTCCAATCAGATACTGAATAGGGCTGTGCAAAATTTGGCCGGCAGTTTCATTTCGATGCTGTTTTGACTCGTTTCAAAACAGCAAAATCGAAATGAAACAGAGAGATTCAAAACAGCTTCGAAACAACACAAGAGCAGTCAAAACGTTATGAAATTTTTTAAACGTTTCGAGTTTCGAAGCTCAAGCTGGGCTTGCCTGCAGGGAAACAGAAACTAAAGTAAGGAGAGGGAGAGGGAGGAGGGGGGAAGCGGGGAAAGGAGTGCTCTCATATTGACTGTGCAGCCGGCCAGTGACTGTCACCCTTCCCTGAGGTCTCTTCCAATCCTAGTGGTCTGGGGGGAGGGATGGAAAAACTGCATAAAAGGCAGCATTGTTTGAACTGCCCTGCTTTTTGCCTTGGTGCCAGTTGAGTGAGGGCACACCTTAACACACACACAGTGTCACCCACCCATGTCACGAGTTTTGCCTGTCAGCAGCTAGAGGTGCAGGGCCCCAGAACCCAGACTCCCCCTGCACCGATCTCCTTGACAGCTGGCAGGCTTTGTGGCCACAGCAGGGCCTAGCTGGCTTGCAGCTTTCACCCCGCTGCGCCTTACGGTGTCACCCATGGCACGAGTTTTGCTTGTCCGCAGCTTGAGGTGCAGTTTCCCCCAAACCTCTGCAGCTCTCCTTGAAACTTGGCAGGCTTCGTTGCCTCTGCAAGGGCTAGCACGCCTGCAGTTTTGACCCCGCTGTGGCTTAACACATACACATGACATGAGTGTTTTGCTTTCAAGACTTTGAGGTGCAGTTTTCCTGAAACCCCTCCACCTATCTCCTTGAAACTTGGCAGGCTTCGTGCCCTCAGAAGGGGCTACCTTTCCTGCAAGTTTCATTAAAGTCAGGCCAGAAATGACAAAGTTACAGGCTGTTTTGAGCTTCCCCATTATAGCCTATCAGTGAAACGTCAAAAGAGCGTTGAAACCACGAAACTTTCAACAAAACGAAATGGAACAGCAGTTTCGAATCTAAAAATTCAAAACGAAACAGTGTTCCATCGAACCGTCAAACCACAAGTTGAAAGGGACCAGTGCCATTTCACACAGCCCTATCAAAAAAGGAGCATTTGGGATATATGCACACACGCATACATATTTGCACTCATTTTGTTTTTATTGAATTCCTTACTTCCTACAGCTCTTACTTTCCATGAAATACAATTCCATGAAGACAGCTTTAGAAAGTTTTGTTTCATGAGCTTAATTGCAGAAGCAGGTCCAGAAATTCTAAATGTGCTTTTATACTTTTCTTTACTGTTTTATTAGTTAGAGGTAGGGAGCACTGGTTTTCTAAGTTCCTGAAGCCACTGAACCCTTTCATATCACTTCTGCTGAAGAGCCCCTACCCGAGCTCCACAGGCTGTGAGAACTGACACGGAGCCAAATGACTTGGCCCAACCACGGCACCACGGTCAGCTCTGCCACTACCTGCAACTTCTTTGTGGGATCCTTCTGTTCTACAGAACGGAGTTTGAAAACCACTGGTGTGGAGTACAGGAGTCAAGCAACTTTAATTTTATAGCATCCTTGTCAAAAACAATTTCTGAGACAAACAATAAATAGGTCTTACCTATGACAAAGATGATGTAGACGTAATATAACATTTCCAAAGGTGCATAAGTAAATTAGGCTGTGATGGGCCATAATTTCAAAGGTATTCATTCAGGCACCAATCTTAAAAATCTGGGCCTAAATCCCTTTCTCAGAAGTGGTTCAAGTGTTTTGAAAACCTATGGAACTTAGGCTCCTAAATGGTTATGACTTTTTTTATAATGGTTCCCAAATCATTTAGGCATTTTTGAGGGTTTTTTTTACCCTGAACCATTAATTCCAAAGACGGTTTCAAAACATTACCTGAACTAGAAGATAAAGCGAAAATCACCATATCTTACCAGTTGCCTAAAGTTAAGGGTTTTTTCTTGTAGAGCAATGCTGACCACCTATTCCCTTCAAGTACTTTAGGAAGCAGGAGTGTACCACCTTTTGGAGATATCAGGAATGTCTGGGGGGATGACAGCAGGATGCTTAGTTTAGTAGCAGTAGCAGTGTGGTAGCAGTAGGAACATATATAATTCTTATTGGGTACATCAACACAGTTCCTGCTGGAGTCAACTGCTCCTAGGCACAGCATCTGCATGCACACCCAGGATAGCAGCAATTTGAGCTGGGGTGGAGCAGGCCCCAGGCTGGCTGGGCTAACCAGGTGCAATTTATGCCCCCAGTCACTGTCTACAAATGCATTTTGGCTCAGTAAATACTCTACTGTAAGATAGTACTGTCCCCAACAGTACTAGCCTACAGTGGAGTTAATTAATTTGCTGCACCCTATTACCAGCACGTGTAGACTGATGCTGTATGTGGAGCTAATTAGCCAACTACAGTAGAGCGCACATGTAGATGCACCCATTGAGACCTGTAGCTATATATAGCTAGTGAACAAAGAAGTAGGAAAACAGTCTACAAGTGCATGGAGAAGGAGGCTTCTTGTAGACTAACCCATGCGCCGCAAGAGATTGCAATAGAGGTCAAAGTGAGGCCATTCATGAAAAGGATAATCTTTTTCCCTGATCCACAAATTCCCCCTTCCTCTTTGTGGGAAGTTCTAGGCTTCTTTCCCCCACTGTGAGCTTTGTTTGGAGGTTGATTCTGTGTTTTATAAGAAAAACCAAAAGTGTTCTTTTTTCCAGTGTCACCATCAGAATTGAAATAATATTAATAAGTACAACTATTTTTCTTTTTTTCTGTTTTACACAAAGTGGAAGAATAATGACATTGGGGTTGAGAAACAGAGGAACTGAATAAAGTTATTTAGGTGTTCAAACAGCAGAGCCAATCTGTGACTGCCTTTTTGTAGGAGGTAAAAAGTGTTAATGCTGTGGGCTGGCATATAGGCTTCTCCACAAAGGAAGCTCATAGGCATTTCCACCCACTTCAAGGCTCTTTTATGGTGGCAGAATGGTGTAAAAGTTTATTAGTGTAACTGAAAAATGAGCTCTGAATTTCAGAGAGCAGAAGCAGCAGTTCAGTGCTTCCCACAAGACATCTTCAATGTGCTTAAATCTAGGAGAGAGAGGAGAGAGAGTTCATTTTTCAGACCATACATTTATTTTCCTCTGTGCTGAAAGTGCCAACAATAATGGTATCTATTCAGATCCAAGGGGATGATAATTATTTTGAAGTGGACACCTGTTCCTCATATATAATCCCTTTGAGAATAGAAATAACCTTCCTAATATATCTGAAAGTACCATTGCCATGTTCACACAGCCTGCAGAAGTCCCTTTCAAGATAAATACTAGAAGAAATAAAAGGGAGACTTCTCTGTAGGCACACTGCCTCAGTATTATGTCAACTAAAGTGTTTCTTTTCAGTGCAATTGATCTCATCCACACTGGCTATATTTTTCTTTTTTTTTGTTACAACAATTTATAGTTTTATCTCTAGTAATGCGTGTGTGCTTTTTACGCGCTTCAGATTTCTAAAAAGCAAGAAGCTCTCAATGAGGTAGGGAGCATTATATTTTATGATCTTTCACAGCAAATTTGTGGGAGAGGAAAGTTGAACTTGTGGTTAAGGCACCAGTGAGATCTATTTAGTTTCTTGTTCTACTGCAGACGTGTCTGACCTCAAACAACTCACTTGATATTTCTCTGCCTCACTTCCCCATCTCTGGTGATAATTCTGCTTCCTTTTGCCCCAGCCATTCTCTCTCTATGCAAACTTAAAGCCCTTTGGGACAGAGATTGTTTTTGTTTTTTTTTACATGCTTATACATTGACAGGGGCTCATTCTCATTACTATAGACCAAATAATAACATAAATAAGACCAAGAAGACAAGGACAGTCACTGGATTAAAGGTAGGACTTTTTGAATTGTTTATTCATAACCATTGTCAGTAATAAGTCCTCACCTTAACTGGTGTTGAAAATGGTTTGGCGGCGAATATAGATGAGTCAAAACCATTTTCAGCATTATTGCTGAATAGATGAAACACATTATTGTCTGAGAATATGTTTCAGATGGTGCATTATTTTTTCCAGTAACAGCTAAATCATTTTCAACCTTGCTTGACAGCAACTGTCAACAATAGATTGCTTTTCTAACATGGCTGGGATTGCAACATTCAGAAATAAACATTCCCAATTCCACTCTTGCAAAATTGTAACTGTGAGTAAAATGTGTCCATTGGTACAATAAGACTTCCTTATACAATAGCTCAGTGTTTCTTTTTGTTCAAAGGGGTGAAATTCACCCCATCCACATACAGTTGGGTATTTGGGCTCTATACAAGCACAATGCAAAGCAACTGTGAGATTTGAAAGGTCAGTGGTACTAGAGATAATATACGTTAATTTTTTTCTGCAGGAAATCTAAAAATATATATTTAAATATAAATGAATATAGGTCCATTTTCATTCTTGAAGGTTTTCTATTATTCTCTGTGGTTAAAGAAACATTGAATCATTTGTTATAAATCTGGTATTTTATTTTTCTGAGAGCTCAGCAACTCAAAGACGGAAGCTTGAAGTACAGAGGGTTTTTTCCTAGTTAAGCAACCTGTTATGGCACATACAGCAATGACTAGAGTTTCCTTTAAAATCTAGACTTGTCATTTTCTCAAAAAAAATCACAGTACATGAAAATGAATGAGTTGTACATTCAACAGACCTGCATAGTCCCTTTTTTAATCTTCATGTCTCATGTATTTGAGGTAATCTTTAAAGGAACTCCTTGTTCTGAAGGATTGTTCTTAGTTTCTGAGCAGAATTTGAACTTTCAGTGATAGCTTCTTCCAACCTCCTTTGCTTGTATCCTCTCAAATTCTGTCACTTGCAAAAAACAGGCAGGGAAGTTGATTTCTATTTACATGCACTCTTTGAGGTTCCTCCACATGGCAGAGTTAAATGACTTTCTTTGAAACAATGACAAAGAAAGCTTACAACTGTCCCCACCCCACTGGAAGAAGGAGCAGTTTGGCTAGTATATTCCTTTGGTGGAATAATAACAATATTCATTCTTTCCGGCCAGCAGAAGAGCTGAGCTACTCTTAGTGATAACACATTACCAGCCACAGGAGTTATCGTGGCCACTCAAATGGCTTGGCAGAGCCCGATAAGGGTAAGTAGCATCTTGTGGCCAGCTAGATATGAGTGAATCCTACTAGGGAGTGTCCCAAGAGCAATGCTGCCAGTGTGTATCCCTGTTCCTAACACCAGTCCATTGAGTGACGGAGTGGCGAGGGAACAGGAGAGGCTGCAGATGCCAGCTATGAAAGTTTTACTGTTTTAATCCCACATGAGTTCTGTAAAGGGAGATCCTTCTGCCCAGCAGCAGGCAATACTGGAGTGTCAGTGGGCAAGTGCGGGTATGTTCACGTGGTATTATACAATGCGGTGATCCTCCACCAAGCTGCTGCGCCACCCTGGGATGCCCCGAGATCCTTTCAAGCAGCAGTGGCCTTAGGGCTGTTGGGGCCCTGAGCAAGAGAGTCATTCAGGGCCCCTTACTGGCTTAATTTTGATGACCTATAAGCAAGTTGGACGTTTGTTGCAAAAGTTTGGGAGCCTCTAAAGTGTGCCATGCCGAAACCACCCTGCCCCATCGCTGCCCGAGTTCTTTGCAACAGACGGGCAAAGTCTTTTTCCAACTTGTTTTGAAATTTATTTTTGAGTTGCCAAAAAAACCCCAGTGAACGCAAAAAGCTGGCATTTTCCTCATCTCCAACCCCGCGTCTCTCGAGTCTCAGGTGGGGAACCAGGGTGGTAACAGATCAGGGCCGATCCAAGGGTAATTGGCGCCCTAGGCAAACTGTGTACCTCGACATCCCCACACTTCAACATAGAGAAAAAGAAGAAGTCTAGAATGAACTTTCACATGTACTTATTTGATATTCAGAATGAATAAAACAATAAAAACTAATTTTTGTTTTTAATTGTTTCACACTTTTCATGAACCCTAACACACCCAGAGCTGTTACAGGCAATCCCCGCTTAACCCTGTTTCACTTCGCACTATTTCGCTGTAACGCTCGTTTGAAATTGATACCTGGTTCCACTTCGCCCTCGGCCAGTTTCGTTATAACGCTCCCGGTCGCCCTCTCACGTCATCAAATCCTTCCGGTTTCGCTTAACACTCGTTTCACTTAACGCTCAGTTTTTCAGGAACCGATTCGGCGCGCTAAGCAGGGGACGCCTGTATTTAAAATAACGTTCCCGTTATTTTGTTCTGCGTATCATTTCGGTGCCCCCCCCCCCCCAATTTTGGCAGCCTAAGCATGAACGCTGCGTACCCCTGGAGGCTATGGCACGGCGAGCTCCTACAGGCGGCCGTGGCGGTGTTGGCGACCACGGGAATGGCAGTCTGCAACCACCCGCAGGCGCCACCGAAATCCTCTCAGCAGTGTCGGCGTGCCTTTTCGCAAGGGGTGCCCGTGCACCTGCGCGCACCCTCTACGCGTCGCCAACGGGTGCAAGGGCGATGCTTGGGAGTCTTAGGGGAAGGCTTGCTGCTTTTCTGGAGATCTTTACCCCTGGATCCTTCGGTGCAGGCCCACATCCAGTGACTGACTGAGGCGCAGGAGCAGGGCAGGGCTCAAGACAAACGGCTCCTTCTTCCCACGGGGCAGAGACACAGGGGGCGGCTCGCGGGCTCCCTCCCCCCAGATGCCTT